AAATAATAAATATTATTAATCTGATTAAAAGCAAAAATGCTAAAATAGAAATAATTAAAGTGAAAAGTCATAGTGAAGATAAGTAAAATAACAGAACAGACTTTCTTGCAAAAAAAGAAGTAATTTATGAAAATATAATATATGTAAAGAAGGTCAATTGTAATAGAATAAAGTACTACTTAGAGTAGAAAAACAGAAAATTGATATACCAATAAGACTTCTGTATAAAATGATAAAAATACCAAAATTAGAGCCAGTTGAAGAAAAATGAACCTAATAAGAATATTAGAGCCAAAAATAGAAAATATAATACATAATTGGTTAAGTTTTTGAAAAGAAATAAACAGAACAAGAAGAGTTTATTGTATCTTAAGAAAACTTAGTACAAGAAGAGCTATAGCAATTAAGTACATAATATACAACTTATTAATACTTGAAGAATTAAACAAAAAAAGACTAGAAGTTTATACAACAGCAAAATTTTAGGTATACCAAAATAGAAAGAAAAAAATGCAGATATACTTAGCAAGTTGTAGTGAATAAAAAAGTTTGTAAAAGCAAATCCAAAAAGTTGCAATAGCAACAGCATAAAACAAACTCAAAGAGAAAAAAAAAACAAAATCTTATTATAAGTATTATACAAAATACTGTTCAGAGAAACAAAAACTGAAAAAATTACAAACAGAAAAGTGCTAATAAAGAAACTTACAATGCTAAAGGTAAAAAAAAAATTAAAATAACTTTTAAACAAGCAGACAACATAGAAGTGCATAGATAAAATAATAAAAACAGTATGAAACACTTTTATGATCAAGTATAGAAATGTGATGTAAAAAAGTACAAAAATAAAAAAAAAAACTAATATAATAAATAAAATGAAGAAAGGCACTTGTGCAAGAGAAAAGATGAACAAAAGAAAAAAGAAAAATAATCAAGCTAAAGAAAAAAAAAAGAAAAAAAAGCAAAAAAGACAAATTAAATAAAGACAAAAGCCTAAAAAACAATTAACATGCTTGTTACAGAAGGAGAAAAACCCTTCTGATATGGCTTTAAATAGTTAACTAAGCAGTTTATCTCTAATAGAGGTAGTGCAGCAGGTTGTATTTAGGTATCATTAGGGTAACCAAGTAATGCTAAACTTAGATATTAGAAAATTCTATATAATTATATATATATATACAGTCTACTTTTATTTATATTAACTTATTTAGATTGGTTTTAAATTATATTAATAGTGATATTAACAAAAGATTATATTAAAGTTAATATACAGTCTTCCCCCTCTATAATCACATCCTTGGTTTTAAGAATTTGGTCCTTATAGAGAGGTTGTGCTTATATAGAAGTTAAATTTTATAAGTATTATATAAGTTGGTTTTAACAATTTATATAATTATAAGCAAATGTGACTATAGAGAAGATGACTATAGAGAGGAAAGACTGTATATAAGAAAATTTTAATATATAAAAATTTATAAAAATTTGATTTGTGACTTAGGTTAATATTAATAAAGTTGATATTAATAAGAGTTAACTGTATTTTTAAAAATCATAATAAAGTATTAGCATAACTGCTTAAGATTAATATATATATATATAGAAATATAAAGATTATAAACAAATAAAAAAAATAAAAAAGAGAATAGTGATCTTAGTGTAGTAGTTGAATTGTTATTTTCTAAACAGTAGATTCAGAATTCAAATCCTACTAGCAACAAAATTTTGAAAAATAGTGTAATTTTAGCAACTTAAACAAAATATCTAAAGTTGTAATTTTGTAATTCTGATTATACTAAGACTAACTTTGAAATTGTGCAATGTTATACAAATAAATTTAAAAAGTACATACTCATAAAAAGCCCTGTTTGAAAATTCTAAGTAAAGAGATAGTATGGTCTTTGATAATACCACCTGTGTAAATTTTAATTTGAAAAAAAAAATCTAAAGCAGATAACTTATATAGACAAAAATCCCTAGATAAAAAAGATTTAGCAATCTGCCTACTGATTAATTTAGATATAAAGTTGCATCATGTAGAGCTTACTGGATTAGTAGTATAAGAAGATTTGCAAAAATAAACAAAACACTAGTAAGGTTGTAAAAATAGATACTAAGATTGTATGAACTCTACAAAGATATAATCATTTAATGTTTAGCTTTGACTGCAAGTATTAGTTCAGTCATAACAAGTTTGAATTAGCTGTAAATAGAAATACAGAAGACTTAGAAAGATTTATCTTAAGGATAAATTAGTCTTAAAATTAAAACAAAGATCTAGAATAACTCAGTAAAGTTGGTATAGATTATAAATTCAGAAGATTTAAATAGAACATCCAAACAGGAGTGTTGGATATAGCAACTAGTAAAAAACCTTTGGACAGACTTCTTAAATAAATAATATAAAAAAGTTATATATGTAGTCAGTTGTACACTTTTCTTATAGTAGTTTTTATAAAATTATGTTATCCAAAAAATACTAATAAAGTCAAAAAATTAAAAGAGGTTATCTTAATATTAAAAAAAATAATAATAATAAAAATAAAAAAAACATAATAAAACTAATAAGTTTAGCAAAAAAAGCTTCAAAAGTATTGTTACTAAGAAGTTTTAAAAACAAATAAGCAAAGACAATTTACATTTTTATGAACAGAAATAGAAATACAAAAAGCATAACAATAGTAACTTTTAGTAATAATGCAAATCTTAAAAAGGCAAGCAGTAAGCCAATAAGATATTACAACTATACTCTAAAAAAACAAATTTAAAAATTACAAACATGCTGATTTACAGAGCACAGAAAATAAATGAATATAATGCAGAAAATAAAAATATTAAAAAGCTAAAAGAAGACAAAATTATAAAAAAAAAACAAAAGACACTAAGAATACTAAAAACAAAAACAAAAAAGGCAATAAGAAGAATAAAAAAAATATAGTAAACATTTAAAAAAGAGTAGTTAACATTAAATTATTTTATAAAAAATATTAAAGAAACTAAAAAAATAAGTAAGAAGCAGATGCTGTCTGCTTAGTGCTTTTAAAAGATGCCATAGTTATATATAATAAACAAATTTAAATCTTTAAAAAATAATTACTAATTATAAAAAATTAAATTAAACAATTAATTTTAATATTTTATAAATATATTATTTACTACTATTATAGAGTTGCAGCCTTCTTGGTACAATAAAACCAAGTAACAAGATTACCTAATATAGTAATTAATTATTGCAAATATTTATAGAATAAAGATGTAGTAGTTCACTTTACTACATAACAGCAAACAATAGTTTGAGATAGTAATAGTATAAAGATTAACTTTATTAAACAAATATATAGTGACAACCTTGTCTGTAAAAATTACTTTAAAGGAAAAATATCAATTTTACAAGTTAAGAATAAAAATAAGAAGGTTTGGGTTGAAGTATAGAAACTTAGAATTGGCAAGAAAGAGAAAAAAGTACTCTTTATATATCTTTTTATCTAATAGATATAGCAGAAATTCAAGCAACATTATTTAATATTGTATTCAAAGTAATAAAAGTTTAAACAATATTAGATATTATTGTATTTGAGATAGTGAAGATTCAAGCTATATAAAATAATACTATAAAATAACTATCATATATTACTGATTAAAAGCAACCAAAAAATTTTTGATTTTTGTAAATTAAATTGATAAAGTTGCTTTTATTTGAGTATAAAGACAAATCACACTTTTAGTTACATGATTTAAAACTGCTAATCAAATCTTAAATCAGATATGGCTTTAATTGGTTGTTAATTATGCATAAAAAATTTTTAATATAATCAAAAAAAACTATTATTATGTTTTAAATATTCCTATAGTCATTGCTTATAATCTTTATTTTTTGGAAGATTAACTTTTTAATGAATTTTCAAATATAAGAATAAAAAATAGTGCAAAATTATTGTACCAAATATTATAGAAGGAACTATCATTATCAAAATTTGTATATGAATATTTATATGTATAAAGGTTAATAAGGCTTATACTAATACTGAAACATTTACTGTAAAGAAAAAAATTGAATATTTGGTATCATATTCTGAGATACAGCAGAGATCGTTAATGTTATGCATATATTGAAACTGATGAAGGATTATATTTATCACAATTGAATTTAACATAAATAATTTAATTTGTGACTGATTATATGTGAGAAGGATTCACTTTAAATCAAGCACTATCATTGTTGTAATTCTGAAATAGGAAATGCTTGTAAAATTTTAGGGTTTTTCAGTTGTATTTAAAAGGTAAAAGCATGTTAGTAGGTATATAATAAAAGAATAAAAGCCTTTTGGATATATACTTGCCTTATTTAGAGCAAGTTCTTCTTGTGCTATTTTAGACATTTATATAAAAATTCAAACAAAAAAAAAAAAAAAAAAATACTTATTATTTTTTTTTTAAAAATGACAAAAGAAACTATAAAAAAGAATGTTTATCAGTCCTATACTATTCAAGAAAAGATAATTGTCATTTGATATGCTCTTTATGAAAGTAATACTAAGGCTACTGCAAAGTTTGGTTTGAACAAGTCTCAAGTTGGTTATTGGGTAATGAAACTAAAGGACCAATTAAATGAAGTTGGCCACAAAAAATCCTATCATTTTGGTAGTGATAATAAAAAGGAGTTTATTTCTGATAAAGAAGCTTAGCTTTATGCCTGAATAGTTAAAATGCATAATGCAGCACTTGCTATAACTTATAATAGTTTCAAGTTAGAGATGTTAAGGATTGTTTTTGAAACTGCTTTAAAAAGTCATAAATTTGCAAAAAGACAGCTTGCAAGTAGTTTCAAGGCTTTTTCTACATGGTTAATATGTTTTTTAAAATACTATAAACTTACTCTATGCCAAAAAACAAAAATAGCATAAAAAATGCTAGCAGATCTTGAAGAAAAGTTGTTTAATTTTTAACAGCATGTGATTCAATTATGCCATATGAAGAATTACTCTTTGAACAATATTGTGAACATGGACAAAACCTCTGTCTGGTTCAACATAGCTGGTAATTTTACAATTGAGGAAATCAGTGCCAAAACAGTACATATTTGCACAACTAAAAATGAAAATAATCACTTTATAGTAGTTTTAACATGCTTTGCTGATGGCCAAAAGCTTTTTCCTATGATCATCTTTAAGGCCAATGATGGCCTAAAATTAAGTTTTTACCTCCTCCTGATGTAATTGTTTTCTTTCATAAGAAAGGTTGAATAATGAACAGAGTAGGTTGGCCTGCATTGATAATTATAGTAGAAACTGACCAGATAGTCAGAAAAATGAGTCTTCTCTTTTTGTATTTGATTTATTTAGAGGACATCTTACTGATACTATTAAGACAAAAGTTAAAGAAAATAATAATAATCTTATTGTTATTCCTGGTGGTTTAACCTCTGTGTGCCAACTACTTGATGTTTTTATTAATCATTCTTTCAAAGTAGCACTTCATTACTACTAGCATGCATGGATGGTAAGTGGTGGTTTTGGAAAAACTAAAAAAGAAAACTTGAAATGTGCAAATTTACATACTATATTTAAATAGGTACTTGCATCATAGGCAAAAATTAGTTCTGAAATTATTCAATGTGTCTTTTGCAGTGTTCTATTTCTAATGCCATGAATGGTTTAAAGGATGATAAAATATACTATGATGAAATCTTTAATAATAGAACTCATCAAACCTTTGATGAAATTTGCTATAATAAAGTTTTAAGTGAAAATATTATTATTATTGATTTTAGTAAAGATGAAGATGATAATACTAATCAGGATATTTTTGTTGAAGATGATGAAGAAGTTTTAATTTTTGCAACAAATCAATAGAAATGTATTGTCAAAAGTTTTTTTAACAATTTAATAAAACTTAGATATAAGTTAGTAATGATCAAATGTAAGTTTTCATCTTGACATTTTTTTAGATGTTTGTTTTCTATACTACTAGTTTTTTTTTTTTAAGTGATCCAAGTAAAAAAAAACTCAACCAAATTTCTGAAGATATTTATGAAGTATCCAATAAATCTTGACAGGAATGTGACAATTTTTGATCTAAGCATTACAGTAATAATTAGCAAAATCAATGCATTAGAAAAAATATATAGTCTTACACCTTAGTTTAAAATTGCCTAAAAAAAAAGACCAGAGTTATTTGTAGAGTTATACTTTATATTATTCTGAAAGTATATTGAATTCAAATTTTATATGCTGATACTTGATTGATTAGTTATAGTTTTGTCTCTCATTCTGTTAAACTAAATTACTATAAAGAATATATATAGGTTTTGCTTTTTTACTATCAAGCAACCTATGTAATATATCTAGAATTATACAAAAATGCACTTACTTTATTTATTTTATTCTATTCATTGATATTATGACTGTTATCCTAACAGGTTATTTAAATTCTATATGACTGTTATCTTAACAGATCATATTTACAGCTTTTACTATATAAGTATTTCAGATCTCTCTATTCTTTTCTATTCATGACTGCTGTCCTGGCAGGTTATACAAATTAGCATTATTCTAATGCAGATAGGGATTGATATAACCAAAACAAAAGTTAGATTTGATTATGCTTACTAATATACTATGATTAATTATTATCTCATACTTATCTAATTACCTTATACTTACATATTAAAAAACATTGACTTATACTTTCATTTGACCTAATGATTGATCAAATATATTGTTATAAGTGAAAGCCTTCTTAATTTTCACACTATAATGACGACACGGCACAGGAAATCCCTTACGGGTATATGCGGTGTCCAAGAGGGAAGTATAGCTTCTGTTAGACGTTGTCAAGA